ATTTTATATGTTATGCAACTACATTCAATACATGTATACACTATTATATTTAAACTGTTGTGCATTTTGGGCCGGAGGCCTTTATTTACTTTAATAAAATTGAGTTGAGTTGAGTTGAGTTGAGAATGCAGGTTGTTTTGGTCACTATTCCCTCTAAATTTTTTTAAAATAATTATTAAACTGTTTCTGGTGTTGGTGATTTAGCACGTGTTGGCCCCAACTTTCGTGGTGCAATGGAAGCTAAACGATGTTTCCATCTAGAAAAAATGCATACAGCCAGTTATATGTTTAGTGGTTTAGTGTCAGTTCTTCTAAGGTTACTTTTTAGCTCACCAGCCATCACATTAAACTGACGATTGGAAACGCCATAACCTAGTTCTGCCATAACTACAGCATGAACGACTAAAGTTTCCTCTTCCTCATAGGACAGGGTGGTTTAAAGACCTTGGCTGCGTTTCATCGAGAGTCCTTTGTCTCAAGTTTGTCTTAAGATAAAAATTATGACAATTTTGCGTTTCAAAGAAAGTCTTAAAAACGTCCTGACTCCTATACTTTTGACCAAAAACAGTCCTAAGTGTAGGAGGGTTTTAAAGGTATCTTAAAATTATCTTAAGTCAAAACGTCTCCAAAATGAAAGAAAGCAGCCTTCATGGTAGTGTTACAAAGACGAAGGCCCCTGTGCCGGAGTACAGGTCACAGGCGCTGAACGTCTATACTGACGAAGTGTTGATTTGTTGATACTGTACAAATTTCCAATGGAATCGATCATGCAAATCCCCGATTGAGTGAAAGGGAATTATTTGAGAATTTAATTTTACCCATGAAATATGGTGCTGTATTTAAATTTAGTAATTTTTACCCATTTAATATGGTGCTATATCAGTCAAATATATTTAATATTTTTCAAAAGTACATATAAGATATAAATATGAAAGTGGGCGGAGTCAAAACTCTGACAAATACAAAAACTTTTGTTAAACTTTGTTTTGAAAACTATCTAAATTGATAGAAAATAGTCTAACTAAGAAAATAAGTCCGGACACCAATATCTTTAATTCAGTCATTAACGCTGTACATGTGTCTAAAAGAGTTGTGTACGTGACGTCACAATGTAGCGCCAAATATCGCGTGCAAAACAAGAATCTATAAATAATATTACTGCGCGCTAAACAATTGCAGTTGCGGAGCAAGCAAGGGGTTCGTAACAATTTTTTTTACGATGAAATTAAATAAAAAGGTTATTTTATCGTTTTTCGTAAAATATGGTATATATTTTCACTCAACATGATAAGAGGGCAATACATTACTTTTTATACTGACATAGTAAATCCAATCCGGAATTATGCGTGTGCCATTGTATTTTGTAACTTTTTTTGAGGAGAGAGAATCGGTCATAAGTTTAAGTTTAAGAAAAAAGATAGGACAGTTACTTGAAATGGTCTTAAGTGCAAAACATGTTTCTCCTAAAGTTGGTCCTAAGTCCTAGGATTTAGGATTAACTTAGGACTCTCCATAAAACGCAGCCTTGTTCTGCAGGAATAGGGGTCTATTGCACTTTTAGTTCTATTCCTCGGGGTTTGGGCATATGTGCCAAAAGATATTGCTGCCATTTCAGCATTCAAACCCCTACTCTTTGACAGCTTGATAAGCAGGTATCAAATACTTTGGGCATACTGACAACTCATTTGAAGTATTTGAATTGGTTGATTTTAAAAAAAAGTAAACATAAAAAACCTTGGTGTTGTAATAATAAATTCAATGCATTCAATGCATTTTTAAAGACAAAAGAAAATGATAAAGAACACAAAATTGTTTTTAATTGATTTTAATTGGCGTTTTGGACCACTAACATTTAAGGAGTGGAAAAGAAATTTTAATACATATAGTATCGTTTAATCAAGGAAATGTTACAACGCCTAGCTCCTGTTGCTGCTGTTAGAATTTCATCATTGAAAAAAAACGTTAATTTTGATTCTATAGCAAAAAAGAAACTGTTTGGGAGATATTTTAACAATTCTAGTTTGTATTTTAAATTTGTATTTCATAATGCTGCCACATGGCTGTGTTTAAAATTTAAATTTTGTTACGGTTCAAAAGTGTAAGAGGAAGACAACTGGTTACCAGTTACAATTGAAAATTGTTACAAAGTCATGTATTATATCATAAAAGTAAAATTATACATCATATAACATTTTAAAGTACACGAATTTATTGCAGTCCTAGAAACCTAATAATCATGTTTGAACATTGTGAATACTAACGTGTTTCAATTACTGACGAATAAAAAAGCAAAAAGTAGATTTTAACTAAAAGCTGTTAAACAGTTGAATCATTTCCTCAAAACAACAAAGAACATCAATTCAAAACTTGGTGGTTGTGATCACTGATTAAAATTAAATGCAATAATGTATGTCCAAAAAGGGCTTAACGTTTAACAAGAACAAAAACAAAACTGTACTAAAATATACACACATCATTATCATAAACATGAAATTACGTACATGTATCTATTGGCAATAAATTACAATTTTATAATCATTCCTTCTGGATATTGTGATTCTATTTTATATAATTATCCAAAAATTTCTTTTCATGGTCAATTTTATTTTTAATTATATCTATGAGCATAAATGAAAAGTCATGAAAATTATCTTCATTCAGATTAAAGTGTGGTCCAACATTTATGGATGATAAGGTATCTGTAAAAAACAATGCATCCATTCATACGTCCTGATGCGGCTTGCTTAGTCTGCTTAACATATTGCATATTGATTTTATCACAAGTATTGAGAAAAGCAGCAGTTTACAATTTTAATTGTAACGAAACTCATATCAATTATTTATTTATTCATTTATTCATTTTTGGGGGAAGCGGGGGTATGATACCAACGTTATTTCTGTTGATTGATACCCATAACATGGAAGTATATAAATTCAGATATTTCTTAGTATTAGAGGGAATGCAGCAGTAATGAATTCCTAGCCGTGCATTTTACTTCATTAATTTTGATAGTTTAATATTTTAAAAATTTCAGCTGAATAAGAAAATACTGTGGTTTATCCCCTTCCCGTTAAAAAATGCAACAGGTTGTCACTCAAGTGATGTAACCGGAAAACATAATTGGTATGAGGACGTACACAATGTAAGTTTGTTCTACGGGAATGTTTCTGAAGAAAAGAAAATTTAATTTGCCCGCATATTTGTCACTTTACAAAAGTTCTGTCTCCCCCAGATAGTTAAGAGATAATATTACAAACTACGTATTAGGCCTCCTTTTTAATTGTTCATGAAATAAGTAACCCAAAATGTACAAATTGACGAAACGATTACAATTATTTAACTTACATATTCTTCACCGAATTGTTCCCCATGAACGTGATCTTGAAGGCTTCTGAATCCCGAGTCATATATATTGTGAGTTGAACAAAAAAAAGTAATTGACACATTGCAATCGGCACTTAAATATACTAAAATTACCACAAACAGGAAAAAATGTGCAAAAAAATAGCCCCTACTGTGTCGTTAAGCGGTAGAAATAAGTTGATAAATAATGTTAAATTTCTCATTTATTGCACATCAGATATACATGTAAATTATCACTTTGACTTTTAAGCGATTTACTTTTCTAAAAATCTTAGTACATTTTTCCAAAGTTCGTTTTCTTGAAATATTTATATAATATTTTGGCTCATTTGGAGGCATGTAGCTTTTATAATGGTAGTTATTTATCATACCTAAACTTTATGTCTATAGTTAAGATTGACATTGCTCGGAGTTATATGTTTCCTTATGATATGTGTGTAGTAAAAACTAAACAAAATCTTCATCTCTGAAACCCCAGAGTAAAGATATTTGCTATGAAACATAATCGAATGCATCTCCACAAAAATCGTTCAAATTGGGATAAAGGATAGATCCTTGTATGTACAAAGCAAAACCTTCAATCATCTTCTTCCCTAAGACACAAGGCTAGATTTCAGACAGTTGGCATTATTCATCATCAAATAAATCTCTGCAAAAGTAATACCAATAATGGCTCTGAGGTGAAAGTTTTCCACCCGCCGACAGTTATTGGCTTTCCATTAATGCATTTTGAAAAAGCTTTTATTCCACTTATACAATACCAAATTATCCTAAAGTGAACATGTATTAAAAAATAAAATATTGTTAAATGAACAAAGAAAGTAATTGAGACATTGCAGTCGGCACTTAAATATACAAAAATTACCACAAACAGGTAAAATAAGGGGAACGGTGGCTTAGTGGTTAAGGTGTCTGCCTCTCAACCCAGGATCATGGGTTCGAGCCCTACTCGGGTCAAGACCATGTTTCTCCATTTGACACCAGTACTGGCTGGTTCAAGGAAGCGGACTCGAAAGTGATTAATATAAGTTGCAAGAACTTGTTTCGCAATCGAGCTTAAATAAATATGTTTAAACCAAACCAAATCTAATGCAATTTGATATGTTATTACGTCAAAGAAGTACAAATATTTTGAAAAAAATGTGTTTTAGAATAAGGACTTAAGTTATATTTCTAAGCACGAGGGTATAAGGTTAAATATGCGTCAGATTTTATTCTATTAATATAAATTCAATATAAATCTTCTTAATTATTTAATTAAGGATTGTCTAAATTTCATTGTAGCATATAATACGATCTTGTGTAATCCTTAGTTAAGGTTTTGATCTTTGTTTGCTTACACGCTGTTGTAATTTAATTAACGCATTTTTATAACATATTCAATTTCTTAGTAAAAGGCAAATTATACGAGGGATGTTCAAAAATGAATGTAACTAGGCTACTATCTGGCTTTCCATCATGTTTTGCACGAACTAGGCACATGCATTGGATATATGGTAGTGTAAGCTCTCAATTGATGCAATAAATGTGCACACAAGTTCAGTCTAGCTTTAACAATAACTCGATTAAAGATATCATCTTGTGTACAATGTACAAAATGAGGAAACAGGAAAATGATAACAATTATTTAACTTACATTTTCAGCAATGAATTTTGCCCCATAAACGTGATCTTGTAGGCTTCTGAATCCCGAGTCAGTACTAGGCTTTATTGAAATAGAAAAAGAAATTTTAGCACAAATATACAATTGTGAAAACTTGCTCACAATTTTTAAATTACCGTTGTTTAATAACTTGCAGAAGTAGATCATTCCGGAACATTTCTAATTCTATCCTTATTTAAGGTATAGAAGTAGAGTTTGATCGAATGATTTATAAAGATTTTTATAAAAAGAAATATTTCTAATTCTTTGTATCAACTCCGCCGGATAATTCCACAAGGTCAAGTTTATGTCTGTAATTAATGCAGCACGTCTCGAGAATCATCCTAAAGTGAACATGTATTTAAAAAATAAAATATTGTGAATTGAACAAAGAAAGTAATTGACACATTGCAATCGGCACTTAAATATACTAAAATTACCACAAACAGGTAAAAATATGCAAAAATAGCCCCTACTGCGTTCGTTAAGCGGTGGAAATAAGTTGATAAATAATGTTAAATTTCTCATTTATTGCACATCAGATATACATGTAAATTATCACTTTGACTTTTAATCTTTTTACTTTTCTAAAAATCTTAGTACATTTTTCCAAAGTTTGATTTCTTGAGATATTTATATAATATTTTGGCTCATTTGGAGGCATGTAGCTTTTATAATGAAAGTTATTTATCCTACCTAAACTTAATGTCTATGGGTAACATTGACATCGATCGGAGTTATATGTTTTGTTATGATATGTGTGTAGTAAACACTAAACAAAATCTTCATCTCTGAAACCCCAGAGTAAAGATATTTGCTATGAAACATAATCGAATGCATCTCCACAAAAATCGTTCAAATTGGGATAAAGGATAGATCCTTGTATGTACAAAGCAAAACCTTCAATCATCTTCTTCCCTAAGACACAAGGCTAGATTTCAGACAGTTGGCATTATTCATCATCAAATAAATCTCTGCAAAAGTAATACCAATAATGGCTCTGAGGTGAAAGTTTTCCACCCGCCGACAGTTATTGGCTTTCCATTAATGCATTCTGAAAAAGCTTTAATTCCACTTATACAATACCAAATCATCCTAAAGTGAACATGTATGACAATCATCCTAAAGTGAACATGTTTTAAAAAAAAATATTGTTAATTGAACCAAGCAAGTATTTGAGACATTGCAATCGGCACTTAAATATACCAAAATTACCACAGACAGGTAAAATAAGGGGAGCGGTGGCCTAATGGTTAAGGTGTCTGCCTCTCAACCCAGAGATCATTGGTTCGAGCCCTACTCGGGTCAAGACCATGTTTCTCCATATGAAGCGGACTCGAAAGTGATTAATATAAGTTGCAAGAACTTGTTTCGCAATCGAGCTTAAATCAATATGTTTAAACCAAGCCAAATCTAATGCAATTTGATATGTGATTACGTAAAAGAAGTACAAATATTTTGAAAAAATGTGTTTTAGAATAAGGGCTTATGTTATATTATATTTCTAAGCTTGAGGATATAAAGTTAAGTATGCGTCGGATTTTATTTTATTTTAATATAAATTCAATATAAATCTTCTTAATTATTTAATTAAGGATTGTCTAAATTTCATTGTCGCATATAATACGATCTTGTGTAATCCTTAGTTAAGGTCTTGATCTTTGTTTGCTTACACGTTGTTGTAATTTAATTAACGCATTTTTATAACATATTCAATTTCTTAGTAAAATGCATATTATACGAGGGATGTTCAAATATGAATGTAACTAGGCTAATATGTGGTTTTCCATCATGTTTTGCACGAACTAGGCACATGTATTGGATAGATGGTAGTGTACGCTCACAACTGATACAATAAATGTGCACACAAGTATAGTTTAGCTTTAACAATAACTCGATTAAAGCTATCATCTTGTGTACATTGTACAAAATGAGGAAACAAGAAAATGATAACAATTATTTAACTTACATTTTCAGCAATGAATTTTGCCACATGAACGTGATCTCGTAGGCTTCTGTATCCCGGCTTTATTGAAATAGAAAAAGAAATTTTAGCACAAATATACAGTTGTGAATACTTGCTCACAATTTGCTTCTGATTCTCTCCTTATTTTAGGTATAGAAGTAGAGTTTGATCGAATGATTTATCAAGACTTTTATAAAAAGAAATATTTCTACTTCTTTGTATCAACTCCGCCGGATTATTCCACTAAGTTTATGTCTGTAATTAATGCAGCACGTCTCGAGATTCATCCTTCAGTTCACGAATATTTTGAGCATGTATTAAAAAAACGAAATATTGTGAATTGAACAAAGGTAGTAATTGACACATTACAATCGGCACTTAAATACTAAAATTACCACAAATAGGTAAAAATATGCAAAAATAGCCCGTACTACGTTCGTTACGCGGTAGAAATAAGTTGATAAATAATGTTAAATTTGTCATTTATTGCACATAAGATATACATAAATTAACACTTAAACCTTTTCTAAAAATCTTAGTACATTTTTCCAAAGTTTGATTTCTTAAAATATTTATATAAAATTTTGGCTCATTTGGAGGCATGTAGCTTTTATAATGGAAGTTATTTACCTAACCTAAACTTTATCTCTATGGCTAACATTGACATCGCTCGGAGGTATATGTTTTCTTATGATATTTGTTTAGTAAAAACTCAACAAAATCTTCATCTCAGAAACCTCAGGGTAAAAATATTTGCTATGAAACATAATCGAATGCATCTCTACAAATATCGTTCAAATTGGGAAAAAGGATAGGTCCTTTTTTGTGCAACGAAAAACCTTCAATCACCTTCTTCTCTGAGACCCAGGGCTAGATTTCAGATAGTTGGCATTTTTTTAACATCTAAGAAATCCCTGCAAAAGTAAGACCAGTAATGGCTCTGAGGTGAAAGTTTATTGGTTTTCCACTAATGCATTTAGAAAAAGCTTTAATTTCACTAATAACAAATACCAAATGTTATATAATTTGATATGTGTTTACGTAAAAGAAGTACAAATATTTGAAAATATGTGTTTTAGAATAAGGGTTTCAGTTATATTTTATTTCTAAGCACGAGGATATAAAGTTAAATATGCATCAGATTTTATTCTTTTAAGATAAATTCAATATAAATCTTCTTATTTATTTAATTAAGGATTGTCTAAATTTCATTGCCGCATATACTAGTAGTACTATCAACAATCACGATAAAGCTTTGAACTTGGGACTTTGCATGTGGATTTTTCAGTTTTGTAAGAGTTATTGCCCTTGACTAACAGTAGTATAAATTTGCAATTTTCAACTTGTTCATACATAGCTCAAAAAGTATTTCACTTGTAGGCCTGAAAGTCTACAAGAATGTTGCTCAGCATGTGTACCTATGCACCTTGGGGTCTGCTTGTGGATTTATTCAGTATTTGTAAAGTTTTTGCCCTTTACTTAGTAAAATATCTTTAGTTTTTTAAAAATGACCAAGAGTCATTAGATTGACAGAACAGTGGCACGGTGGGGCACCCGTATCCTATGGACACATTTCTAGTTATTTATTTATTTTTATTTTTTTGTCGTTTTTTGTTTGTTTTATTTTGTCAAATTGTTTGTTGTTTTTTGGTTTCGATATATATATAAGATTTCAAGATTTCAAGATTTTATTCAATCAAACCAGAAGGTCATAAACCCATGTGGTACATATATTACAAATAAATTTTGAACAATATATAATATTACAAAATATACATGCATAATATCTGAACATACCTCTACATGTATCTAGTATATGTACACAATCATTTTAGTCTCTCATAAATTTCAATAGAAAGGGGACATAACTATACATGAAACGCAAATACACATTAATTTGTTTTACCTCCCATGCACTGAGGCGTATTTATAATATAATTTATCAAATTTTCGATTAGTGAGACTTTCTAATTATGTGTCATATATTATCTACTCATATATTGTTGTAATCATTAATATAACTATTTTGCTTCAAAAACCCATACAATTCTGATTCTGAATAAAAACCGTATCATGCATAAGAATAGGGACTAACAAATTACACGTTTTGAATATTGTTTTGGTATAATGATCGCATTTGCTGTTATATATATAAATTTTTTTAATGTTGTCGAACTGTATGAGTATTTCAGCTTTACCGACAAATAACGAAAGAACGAAAGTGGTAAAACTTTGATTTGAATTGAATTTAAAAGCGTAATAATGATGAGCACATAAAATGCGTATAATATGTGACTACACCCTTAATTTGAAGTTTCACTCGAAACGAAAGTTGTGAAACTACAACACAAGGTATCATTTTATTTAACAATTATTATTTCATGTAAAAAAGTGAGGTTTACATAATAGGGTATAATTATTCAAACACGTCATACACTACATTATTACTTATATAAAAATATAACATATCAAATCGATAATAACATGAAAGCATACACACTAAATACTGCATTTCTTATTACAGTAAAGTAATTTTGGCATTCAAAGCATTAATTACCATATAACACAGTTTTTCTCAAAGTAAAAGCCTTTTCAAAATACAATGATAAATTCTTAAGGATTTGCTTTTTATCGTTCATTAAAAATTCTATAAATTTTTGCATATTTGGTCGCTTCCAGTAATATTTTGGGATGAATTGTTTTCTCAAATCATGATACAAAGAACATTCTAAGACAAAATGGTACTCATCTTCAAGTATATTGCATATATTACATTTCCTTTCATTAACTGGTGTGCTCGTAGGCCTGGTCCACCGACCAGTCTCTATACATAATCTGTGCAAAGATAGGCGTAAACGTGACAAATTTATACGATATTTATTAATAACAACAATATCTAAGTACGACTGAAAACCATGATTAGCAATATATTTATACAATGAGGCTCTGCTTGAATCATTTAACCTACCAGACCAATTTTGCAAAAATTGATCTTTTATACGTTGCTTAACATTTAGAAGAAATACTTTTTCATCACCTATTGTTTGAAACAACCATGCATCATGAAATCCAAGAGAACATAATACGTTTCTCGTAA